TATATAGGGGTCACGATATATCGTATCGTGACCCCTCTGTCATGATATGTATCGTATTGCCAAATTCTTGCCAATATACAGCCCTACTGAACACTGATGGATTTCTTTAGAGCTGGTGCTGATGTTATGGTTTGTTTCTTATTTCATTGCAGCGTAAAAAAGAAAAGAAACGACTTGAAAAGGAAAACGCCCCAGAAGAAAATTCACCTGTGAGTCAAACTGGTTTCATTTTGCTGTAAATTACAAAAAAATCTGTAAATTTGTGCTGATTCCTTCCTCCATTGGTTTTTCAGGATGTGGAGAAAGACAAATGTGACCCCTCTAAGGATCAGGACCAAAGACCAACAAATTGTAGTAATTCAGAAAAAAAAGAATGTTCTAAACTCAGTCAGTCACAGAGTGAACAGGCTGCATGTAAGAAGCACAAGAACACTAAGGAACAAGATCTGATTAGTGTAAATAAAAAAGATGAAAATCATCAAAAGGTTTGTGGATCTTTTGGCGTTTAAGTTGCATAAAAAAAAAACTAGATGTTTTCCTCTAATGGGCAGTTTTTCTGTAAAGCCTTAAGCGCTTTTTTTGATTACAGGGTTTGAATTTAAATAATTCTAAATCGGTCCCTGAGGAGAAGTCCAACCAGAAGTTTACAAACGAAAAGAATAAAGACAAAAACAAAGTTCAGAAGCTTGAAGAAGTAAAGCCAAAGGTGCCCGAGAAACCTGAGCTTCCACAGAAAGCAGAGGATGAAACCAGTGAAACGGTAAAATAACAAGATAGCATTTTTAAGATGATATACCTAAAAATCACTGCTGTATTTACCACTCTTCCACCTTATAATAAAATATTAATAATAATACAAAAGGGCAGGATGACACATCAAATTAGATAGAAAAACACTATTTCCTGAACTGAGCTGGTAACTTTTAATGATTTCAGTCAACAATTAGAGCCTCTTGAACTGCATCAAATGTTCTTTTGAACAGAAAACTCTGGATCCTGCTGTGGAAGAGTTTGCGAAAAGAAGCATTGAGCTCGCTAGTGAGTAGAGTTCACACGTTGACACGTTTCGGGGCGATTTGACACAGCTAAAAATGCTGAGAGGGTTGCGACTTTGTTCCAGGTGTGGGAAACCGTTTGGCTGCTTCAGGACAGTTTGAGACGGCCGTGAGTTGCTTTACTGACGCCATCAAATATAACCCGAAGGAATATAAGTAAGAACAAATTCGTATACGGACTTTATTACAAACTCTGTTTGGACAATAATGGTTATAAAACATTCTTGCTGTTTTTGTTTGTTTTGTTTTGTTTTTTCAGATTATTTGGAAATCGGTCGCTCTGCTATGAAAGGCTTCAACAGTATGAAAATGCTCTCAGGGATGCTGACCTGGCACTTTCCATGGAACCGAAGTGGATAAAGGGTTTATTTCGAAAAGGGAAAGCTCTTTGTGGCCTCAAGGTAAACCAGCACCGCTGCGCTGCAGCTTGAGGTGTTTTATTAAGTTAAACTGTTAGCTGCAGCGCAGCTAACAGTTTAACTTAATAAAACACCTCCTTAAGCTGCTTTTTAAAGGTTTATCATGTAGTGTACGGCTTATTTCCTCWCTGCCTGTGTGTTCTTCAGAGGTACTATGAAGCCTCGCTCATCTATAAGGACGTGCTGAAGCTGGAAAGCACGAGTGCTGAAGCCGCACAGGAGCTGAAACGTGCGCAGACGTTGCACCTCATGGTAGGGAAAGTTTGTTTCCTGCCTCCATCACAGATATTAAGTTGGTCTCTTGTTACCTGTGGCGTATCAGCGTAAGTTTTGTTTTTGCGCWTCGTTTTCAGGAAATGGGTTTCTCCTGGCCACAGAGCTCGGAGGCTCTGAAGACCCACGGGACGTTAGAGGAAGCAATAGAGGCTCTGTTTGCCGGTGACAGCAGGCCAGATCCTAAAGGTACTTAAAGGGATTCTCCAGCCTTTTTGGAGTGTAAAAAATATAAACTGTTGATATCTTACCTGCTGTAGATGGTTGTTTAAACAGCTTCAAGTCTGACAAGACTGTCAAACAAAAGACATCTAAGACTAAAGTGGATTGATGCCATCATTAAAAAAAACTCTTACCTCCAAAATTGCATCTTTAAAGGAGACACATCCTGCTTTTAAATCCTACTTTTTCACATTTATATTGTTCAGTTGTGGTCTATGTAAAGTGGAACTGCACCGCTTTGGTATGAATTCCTCCTTATTGTAACTCCACAAGCCCCTGTTTTACCCGTTTTCTGAGGTGTGTCTCAGATAACTCGTTTTGGTGCTGTCTCTTTTAAATGTAAACGAGGCACTTCACCCCTCACCTACCTCCATACTGTTTAATGTTATCATTTAGACAATATTTTATGAAAAATTTCTTTTAATTTTCTTTTTTGGAAGTGGGTCTGCCCAGACTGGATCGACCAGCTTGTACTGGTTCGTCTGAGCAGACGTGTCCAGTTAGGATGACAAAATCCAAAAACCACTCCTCGTTTAACATCTCATAGCTATTTATGCAGAAATATTGCCTGAACTTTTACACTGATGTAGATTTTTTTTACACAATTATTCTGAAATACCAGCTGAAGTACCTCCAGGCTGCACAGGAAGTGTACAGCTCACTGCAGGTGTTTGTATTCATAAATAAAAACACAATTTTCTCGTAAGTTGAGGAACTGATGATGGTGTAAAGGTTTATAAAATATCTTTCACATGATAGACGGCAGCTTGTCAGTCCTGTCAGTCTAGAATGTTATTTCTCTAAACTGAGCTCATTGAAAAGGCCATCTACAACAGGTAAGATATTAATTGTTAACCTTTTCACAGAACCCCCACTTCAAAGCATTCCTCTGTACAGAGACCACAGGAAAATCAGGGGTTTCTGTTTCTCCCTCTGTAGGTGCTGAAGCCAGCTGGGATACAATCAAGATGCAGAACGGGGATGATGATGATGATGATGATGAGGATAATGATGAAGGCAAGAGCTGATGCTGCAGTTGCACATCTGTATATAGGAATGTTCATGCTCTTTTAATGTCTATTATATTTATTTTTTTCTTCTCTTTTAAATCAAATTGCTCTTTTAAAATTGCGTATGTTTACATTAGTTAATGCTTACATATTCTTTTCTTTAATTGCACCAATAGGGGGCGCTGTAACTCAGTTKCATTGTGCAAACCTACAAGTCCAATGTGCAATGACAATAAAGGTTCATTTCATTTCAAGGAGAATGGATTGTTCAACAACCAAACCACCCTCGGCAGCAGAGCAAAAATGTCTGCTCTTTGGTCCAAACCAGAACAGAATCACACTCGCCAACACCACATTCCAGGAGTTCTGGGAAACCGTAAGTGTTCGTTTATCTGAACCCACTTAGTAAACATTTCCATTTTTGTGTGTTTTTCTGGTTGTTCTCTCTTTAAACGTGTGGTATTAATGTTGGCATTGGTTAAATTCAGTGTGAAATGTAAGTTTCAGTTTTTACAGCTTTGTTTTTTTCACAGGAAGAAGTTTGCTGTTTGGGTTGGAGTATTGGCTCATACTATGACCTACGTGAAACTCCACGAGCTGTTCAGCAGGTGAAGTCACAGAGGGCTCCTCAGGTGTTTTTAGTATGTGCTGCTGATTCTGATCTCTTGTTTTTCAAAGCGACCTCAGTCTGAACGCTCATGTCACATTTCATCCGACTCTTCCRTCAGTGAGGTGGGGGCGAGCGGATCAGTCCAAATATTTAGAATATTGATACCAACCATGTGCAGTTTAAATCTTGTAGTTCTACAAGTCTTCAGCTGCAGAACAGAAGTCCAGTTGTTTTTGTCTTTTTTTGTTATCATTTTCCATGTTCTGGATGACTGAGAATCCACAGAAATATGATGATAACATACCGGTAGTGTCGGATCCCTGAACTAGTTTTACTTTCAGCACATTGCTCCTGTCCCAAACATAGGAAGCGGCGCAGGAGTAGCCAACAGAAGATAGGTTTGGATATAAACTAAACTAAAGAAGCAGGTCAGATATTTAGAATCCACATGCTAACATGTAGCATCCATATGTCCTCCTGTAAACAGCGAGCTGAGTGTGTCTTCTGCACATGTGGGTCAGTGTTGTGGAGAATTCACACTGGGGTCTGACAGAGGTCGCCTTTAAAATATAATGTGAACGACCACACTAAAATATCAGATTGGAGAATAAAATCTGAATTACCGTATTTATTCAAGTATAATATGTAAAATTAAATCCATAAAATCATCCATAAAGTTGGGGGGTAGTACTATACTTGGATAAATATTTTTTACTTATGTATTTTAACTGAAATATTGGCTTCATTCACAAAATTACAGGGTCTGGAAATGAGACCGGGTCGTAAAAAGCAGTTGAAACGAGGTTACCTCTGACACTCCTCCGTGCTTCAGAGCGAGATAATAACAGATCCAGGCAGGCGACATGATGTGGAAAAAGGGGGGGAAGTATTCCTGCACCTCAGTAATGATAAACTAATGACATTAGGGTGTGACCGGGCCGCTCCTCGAACAACAACAAACACGTTTGTCTGTAATGGCTGCCGTCTACCAGTGTTCTGAAAAAGTTTGTATCCCTGAAAAAACGTTTCCCCACCAGAGGGGGYGCTCACGAGTAGGAAGTAATCTGCTTTTCCCCCACAAGATGGCCCAAATCTCATGTGAAGTCTCTGACTTTTGTGTTGGCGCCTCCTGGTGGACTATGTGTAAAGGGCTCAACACACGGGAGGCGACGTCGCTCGCTCTCCATTCATTTCCTATGGAGGCTGTGTGGTGAGGCGACAATCGCTTGCCCTCCTCCAGCTAAGCGACCGGCGAAAATAGTACATGTGAAATTTCACGCTCGTACACGTAGACGTACACACGCAAGCTTGCGACGCGACATATGAAAGTTGAAAAATGTTCAACTTTTGTCGCTGTCGCTTAGCGTACAACCAATCAGCGAGGGTTTCATTGACTGACCAATGAGAGGAGCGTATGCTACACACTGCAGTTAGCTAACACTTTCACCAAGGGATTACTAAAAAGCTTTGTGGGAATTTATTGGCACCAGGGTGAAGTTTATGGTAAGTTTTTCCTCATAAAACTGTATCTTGATGTGTGTTTGTTTTTCAATATCATTAGCATCGCAAGATTTGTTTAGTTTACACGTCCGTAATGCACACCCGCCCACAGAGTTAAGAACCAATCAAATTTTGTGAAGACAAGCGATCTGAGAGCGCGATTCGCAACGCTGCGATCGCTATTGCGTCCCGTGTGTCGGGTTTTCACCCTGGTTGCGATGACAGCCGTTAATCGCTGTAGTTTGTCACTGCCCGTGTGTCGAGCCCTTAAAACGCCAGAATTCATATGATGCTGCTACAGCTGATATATATTTGTTGTCAAAATACCTTTTAGTACATATGTTGTTAAAATAAAATGAACAGTCCAATGATTATTTTACTGAAATGTATAAAAACTGCAAAGGCTGAAAAATCTTGAAGTGTGTATGAAATTGGAGGTAGTTTGAGGATTACATTTTTTATGCTTTTCAAGCTCAAAAAAAAAAGGGGGGGGGRGTATTATACATGAGATTGTATTGTACATGAATAATTACGGTAATTAAAAGCCAAAGCGTGAACGTAGCCTATGTGAATATCTTAGGAAGGAAGAGAACAATGTATTAAAAAACAAATCTTTGAACATGCTGATTTGTGCTGTGTATGCCACTTTAACTGATTACTCAGCATTTGTCCCCCTCAGAGCCGGGACCGTTTACAGCATTAAGATGTTGCTGGAGCAGCAGTGTGCGTTTGTGAACTACACCCGGAAAGAAGACTGTGAGCGAGCCATTCAGTGCATCGACGTAAGCGTGAAATAAAAGTTCTGGTCATGGCGATGACGGGGACCGGTGTCTGACTCGGCTTTGGAAATAAATCTGTTTCTCCTTCAGGGAATGGTAGTGGAGGGGGCGCCGCTGACTGTACGATATCCACAGAAATTTGGACTTGGTGGAGCCGCTGACCCAGGTCCAGTTTCTAGGTAAGACAGGTCTAAGTATGAATTAGAGCCTGGCTCCTTCAGTGGTAAATAAAATAGTATTTTCTGTGGTTACAGCACTTATAAGAAGGAATGCTTTTTCTGGAGGACGATAGGCTGCACGAGGGAGGACTGCACCTTCAGACACATCCCGGAACACAAAAACCTCGACAAAGACAAGGTCACCAGCAGGCTGGGATTGTTTTCACACGTAGGGGATCATAAATAAGACGCTACGTGACGAACTCAACATACATTTTCCTCTTTAGCAAAGCAGCTTTTCTTTTGACTGTTTAGCAGTGGAAAAAATGTTTGGGTTTTACAATTTGTTGGGAATTTCCGCACCATGTTAGCCATCCATGTGTCCTAACAATATTTCACGTGCCTTTTTAGAATTGCATCGAACATTTTCAAGATTTGAGCATGCCTTGGCAAAGAATCACTTTTGACCAAGCAGTTTTATTTCTCATCTGACTGGAACTGTTTTAAAATAAGATTCTTCCTGTTGGTCTTCAGTCACCACTAGGTGGCAGTGTTACATTTATCCTTTGGTGTTGGGGGTTCAGAGCTCTTTGCTTTCATTTTCAAGGCTGTGATTAATGAGAAGCTATTCTGCAGGCATATTTTTATGCCTTGTTTATTTTTTCAAACTGTCTCAATATTTATGTTTCCAAGGCTATTGGATTTGTTTTATGTAAGATGGTTTATTGAGTTGTTAGCGTTATTAAAATGTTTAATTTTCCGGAGTGTTGGAGCTTCTGGTCAAATGTAGTAATGATGTTTACAGCAGAATCAGACAGCCGTTTTTGTTCCAGCTGCTAAAAGGTCCATTCAAAATGACCCAACGCCGTTTAAAAGTGTTTGTATTATACAGTCCTATGTACAGTTTATTTTGATTTAAACAAATCGTTTAAGACTGGGAACTTTCTGAAGAAATCTTAAGTGTCCCAATTGAGTGATTCCACTATTAATTTTATTATTAAAAATGAATAAAATGCCCACATTTTGAACTGAAGTGTTGACAGCTATGATTTAAAAGGGTTAAAGCTGCTGCTAGTACCTTATTATGGTCACCATGATAACACACCTGACTGAGTTTGTAACTCCCTGCTTCCAAGTTGGTAAGTGGACAAAAACAAACTGTTTTAAAAAAAAGTAAAATAAACACTGAAAAAAACTATACGTAAGATTTTTTTTGTCTTCAAAGTTCTTTAACTGTTAGAGACACGAGACTGACCTACAAATAAATTTGTAGGTTTCTAAAGTGTTTTATAAAAAATGGGAAATTACCAAACCAGATGTGAAAGCTAGTAAAACAAATATAGCAAAACAAACTATAATGGCAAAACAAGCATTAACTGTTTTTGTTTTTTACAGTTTGTTTAGCAAAATTGTAGCTAAATTTCACCTAACTTCACTAAACATATTCTAAAACTGTGCAAAAGAATTGTTACAATTTACAAACCAGATGCTAAAGCTAGTAAAACAAATACAGCAAAACAAACTTGATAATAGAAAAAAGCATTTACTTTGTTTTTACAGTTTATGTTTAGCAAAATTGTAGCTACGTTTAGCTAAACTTCACTAAATTAGCTGAACATATTCTAAAAGCCAAAATTTGCAAAATAATTGTTACAATTTACAAAACAGATGCTAAAGCTAAATTAGCAAAACTGTAAGAAAGACGTTAGTGTGAAAACTAGCTAAAACTAAGAGCAATTATACTAAAGTCTTGGTAAATGGAAGAGCTCTGTATTTCTATGGAATTTTTTATTTGAAATAAATATAAACAGTTTATAAAGATACAAAAACCAAATGTCAATACATTAGTGAGAAGTAACTACAGTGGCACTGTGGTACAGAGGTTTGAGCTGCTGACTCAATGAAAAGGTCACAGGTTCACCTGGACTGGGGTCTTTTTGTGTGAAGTTTACACATTCTACAACCAGTGGCTCGTGAGCTCATTTAAAGGCACAGTGTGTAGGAGTTTGTCAATTCTTTTTGCCGAAATTGAGATAATTACTAATGACAATAATAAAAAACATGTCTAATCATTGCAGACAAAGACTTTGTTTTATTTTTTTACCTTATAAAAAGCTGTTTATATCTCCATGGTCGCGGGTCGCCACACAGGCGGCCGCCATCTTG